TTTATAGAAGCAACTTTTTAAAAGAACAGCAAATAGGTATTGTACCACGTTCAGGATACCGCTTAGGGGATAATCAGTCTAGAATTGCTCTTGAATGGCTTACATGGCTTGAAGAAAAAAATAATATTCAAATAGTTCACGCTTTACGAGACAGAGAAATCAAGACACCAAATGGTGTAAAATTGGATGGTTATAGAATTGATAAAAACGGGGTAAATTATGCTTATCAATTTCACGGATGCTTTTGGCATGGTTGTCCTAAATGTTTCAAAAATGATCGAGAAAATATTATCTATAAAACCGGAAATAAAAAAAAAAAGAATAATACTCTCAAGTCAAGATATGAGGCCACACAATTGCAATCTTTAAAAATTAAAGAATGTGGTTATATCTTAACTGAGATTTGGGAATGTGAATTTAATAGAGAAAAAAAAAATAATCAGGACTTGCAATTATTTTTAAATAGTTCTAAAGTGATATCAGTTAAATCTTTAAATACTCGAGATGCTTTTTTTGGCGGGCGTACAGGCAACGTAAAAACATATTACGACGTAAAGAAAAATTCAAAGGGCGAAGATATTGAAAAAATCAGATATGTCGATGTATGTTCGCTGTATCCTTGGGTTTTAAAAACCGGTTGTTTCCCTATCGGTCACCCCAAAGTTTATGTGGCCGATGCATGTGAAAATATAGCACCAAGTAAAAATATAGATAACGTTCAAGGATTAATTAAATGCAGAGTATTACCCCCACGTAATCTATATCATCCAGTTTTACCTGTCAGAGCGCATGGAAAATTATTTTTCCCTTTATGTCAAAGCTGCTGTCAAGATCAAACACAGACTGATTGTCACCATGAAAATATATCTGACCGAGAGTTATGTGGTACATGGGTTGCATGTGAGCTTAGAAAAGCTGTAAAAAAAGGGTATGTTATTCGAGAAATTGATGAAATTTGGGAATACCAGGTAGTACAATATAATCCTCAAGATAAAAATAGCGCAGGGTTATTTGAAGGATATATAAATACTTTCTTAAAAATTAAACAACAGGCATCCGGTTGGCCTAGTCAGTGTGTAGATGAGAAATCTAAGCAAGAATATTTAGATAGGTATGAGGAAAGAGAAGGGGTTAAGTTAGAGCAAGAAAAAATTGAAAAAATCCTGGGTTAAGATCTTTAGCCAAGTTATTTTTAAATTCATTTTGGGGAAAATTTGGCCAGCGGGAGAATATGAAGAAAAAGTCTATAGTTCGAACATGTGAAGAATTATATGACTTAGTTTTTGATCCTGAAATAGAAATAACTGAATTTGTCCCTATTAACAAAGATTCAATCATTGTAAATTGGATAAATAATGTAGATAGTTACACCCCATCAGACAGGGCGAATGTGGTTATTGCAGCATTTACAACAGCGCAGGCAAGATTAAAATTATATTCTTACTTAGATTATCTAGATACTAAAGTTTTATACTATGATACTGACTCTGTGATTTATGTAAGTGACGGTAATAGAGATTTACCAACCGGGGATTTTCCCCGGGTAAAAAACGAACAATCTTCAATAGACTCATGAAAGATCTACCACAGATCTTTCGCTATTGGATCTGCAAGAGATCTGCCAGAAGTCTACCTGGGGAGACAAATTTTTCAAAAAACGGTAGAGTCCATTAAAGACTTTTGGAAGATCTTAGGTAGATCCGTGAGCGAAAGATTTGTGGTAGATCTTTTGAAAGTCTGTTGTAGTTTTTTCAAATTCATTTAATGATCGAAAAAAAATTTTTTTCTTCAAAAAATCAATAACCAATTCTTGTAGAAAATTTATTTAAGTTTTCGAAACTCACCTTGAATTTTCTATGTAATCATTGGTTAGTTAAATTCAAATACCGTCATCTCAGTGAGAAATCCTCGAATCAAGATTTAAAAAAAAAAAATTGGAGCTGAATAAACAAGATATGTAGTGTTTAAGTCAAAAAAATTTTTTCCAAGTCTGTTAGAATAAAAATAAAAACCAAAAAAATCTGGACAACATTTTTTTTGCTCGACGAGCAGGAAGCGTCAAATTTCGGCCCGCTGCGCTAAACGAAATTGGCACTTTCTGCCTTCGTCGAGCAAAAAAATAGCATACACTCCTCGGGAAGTAAATAAGAAAGCCTCAGATCACATGTTTGTTTACCTCGGCTTCGCCTCGGCCAACAATTACATGTGATCTGAGACATTTTTTACTTTACTTCCCTCGGTGTGGAATATACTATTCTTTATAGTATAGCTTGTTGAAAAACCTAAAAAAATTTGGATTTTTTTTTTCTTGATCCCTTAATTTTTGTGAGAAGTGTACATAAACTATACATAAAAATCTTACCCCACGTATTTTGTTACGGATGTTTTTTGCCGGCCAGGGTACTGGTCCTCATTGTCTCATAAGGAACTTCGTTCAAAAAGCAAAGAATATCGTTTTTGATTCATAAACAAATTTTTATTGAGAATCAATACAACAGACTGGATCGATAACAAATACAGAATTGTCATTATTGAAATTTTTAACAGTATAACACACATTTTTCAAATCATCAATGTTAATCACGAATAAGTTTTTTTCTTGAGATATTTTGCATGACAGTATTGAATCTATCATTACACCAGGAAGCGTTTCAAAAGACATTGTGGTTGTTAATTTGTTTATGATAGCAAAGAATTTTGAATTTGCATCACAACTTTCACATCTATTTTCACAGTTACAATAGTTTAATTGTATAAATTGCGTTATTATTCCAAAATCGCAGTTCTGTCCATCATCAACATAATATTTAACATAAATGGAATTCGTTCTCCTTTTACGTTTATACGATTCAGCTTCATACACTACTCGATCTTTAAATAATCTTTGAAACTCGTAAATCTTTTTTACATCACCCATTGTATAGTTTACCGGAAAACGTTGGAGTAAATCATTAGATAAATTTTGAATTCGTTTGCTATTTCCAATAATGAAAGTATTGTCACAAATTTTCCTTAATTTACGCCTATTCTTTCCACTCAGTTCTAATCGCTCGCAAAATGAAGCAATCTTAGAGCCAGGAAAAAATGTTCGAAACTTTTCTCGGGTAATATTAATGAATATTGTTATTGCTGATGAAATTTGGAGTTGGACGTATCGAGTTCCATGAATTAGTTTTTTCAATAATCCATTCAGACCTTCAAACGGATAACATGATGTAACCCAGAGCGGTCCTAAATTTCTGACAACATCAGGTAAATGAAGCAAATGATGAAGGTTACAGCTCATATGGCTTAAGCCGTACAAATCTTCGTACCTTCCAACAAACTCTAAAATTAATCGGGATGCCAAAGTAATCATATGATCAGAAATGCTCTCTTGATGTAACAAGGTAACAGCCAAGACGAAGAATTTAAGATGATTGAAATAATTTTTATCCATCAAATCATGAAGAAGAGGCAAGCAGTAATAAAGAAGAAAAGCATGAAACTCATGTGCTTTCCAATATTTCATGTCAGATATTGATCTTGGTTGTCTGATCACATTACACGGAGGCCGAATGGAAGAAATTCTTGCATTAATTATGTCAACGTACCGGTACAGAGAAGCTCGGTGAGTAGCGAATTGTTTGTCAAACAATACTGTAAATAATTTTTTGCAAACGCCCAAATCAACACAATGCATGGAATTGATTGCAGTCGATTTAATAAAATCATAACAGATTTTCGATAAGAATGTGGGTCCCTTAACCCCTTTAACTACTTTCTTTGTTTCCAATGCTTCTTCCGCGTATTTAACAGTTTCTTCTGTTGTACAAAGTTTTAATTTAGGACTGAAACGATATGATTGGACGTAATTAACTTTTTCACTTGCTATCTCACATTTTTGACACCCATATCGAGCCATATGAGGAGACATATTCAAAAACTGCGCTTTTGCCGGTAAATCAAGAGTACCAGTCATGATAAATCCTCGCACAAAGATCGGAAGATTTAAACCAGGGACGTTAAAATGTAAACCCTCATATAACACTTTGAGCTCATTATAAAACGCAGCCATGAATTTATTAGCGTTTGGTTTTTCGAAGCCAAACCATAATCCTGCTAATATGGTATTTTCAGTTTTTATTCGTTCCATAAAAGGTAATTCATTGATCCGCAGAAAGAAAGGCCAAATGTTAAATTTTGAGGATTTGAATGGAGAAACGCCATCTGTATTCCATGTAAATGAAATATTCGAACAATCAGAGAGAAATTTATCCTTCTTCATAAAAAAATTGTAAATATCTCTATCGTATATATCTTCTTTATTTTCATTGTTTAACTTCTGTCGACTAAAACGATGATTTAATAACTTATAAAAACCATTTCGTAAAAACATTGCTGATAATTGAGAAAGAATAGACGTTGTAATGAAATAAGGAGCGCTGGAATCTTTGTCAGTAACGTGCTGGCAATTAGAACAAGTACTACATTCAGATGGTAACGAATGATGACAACGAGGACAATAAAAATGACGATCGAAGTTTATTCTCAAACGATCGAAATATTGTTTGAATTTATATTTTGTTTTTAAGCAATGCCCGGGAAAAAATGATCAGATCTGATCAGATATGAACAGGTATGAGTCTTTAGGTCTGATCAGACATGAAAAATGACCGGGTCTGATCAGACCTGGCCAGGCATGTTCATGTCTGATCAGATCTGTTCATGCCTGACTCGATTAGGTCCATAAAAAAAAAAGATTGGTGCCGACGGGGATTCGAACCATGTACGTTGCGTTCTTCAGACTGATACTTTACCTTTTTTTTTTTTTTTTTTTAAATGTTTGTATTTTTATTTTAAATAAAATCAATAAATTATTTTTATTACAGATCAATGATGGGAATGAGCCATATTTAAATTGGATTGGAAGTATTGTTCCATCATCAAAGAAATAAATTTTTAATTTATTAAAAAATAAACTTTAATACTTAATTTATTTTTAATCCTTAAAATTATTTTTAACCCCTAAAATTTTTTTATATAAAAAAAATTGGTTTTAAAAAATTGTTCTAATTTTTAAAAATTTTTTCTTTTATTGAACCCATAGAAAATTTACAATTATTCCTTAAAACTATTTAATGCTTAAACAAACTAAAACAAGCTTTAATTACATTTTTTGATACACATAATGGCCAGGCTGGGCAACGCAATGCAGTACAACTTTCTTATAAATTCTTGCTCTTTCGAGGTAATTTCAGTTTTTTTTTTTTTATTTACTGATACTTTACCTATTGACCCAATGACATCTTAATTCTAGAGTACCTTTTAAACTACTTTAAGTAATTTAAAGTTTATACATGACTTATCCTTATAGTTAACGGAGTTCTATACTTAATTTATTAATTAATTATTAATAATTAATTATACACTGTAAAAAATTTCGCGTCATAGCGTCAAACAATTTTGTGTTAAAAATTTTTATGTTAAATATTTGTAAAATGCTGAAAGAGCGGAAAAACTAAGGATCAGGTTTCGGTCTGGTTATCTCAATTAAAATACAAAAATTATTATTAAAAATAACACTAGAGTTTATTTAACTATAATTACAATCAATATTTAACTTGTTTAATAGCGGATTGGTTAAATAAAAGCGGATATGTTATACACAGCGTGGTTAGCAAAAGCGAAGCCGTTTAGCACGTGGTTGAGTAAACTGCCGGCACTGTCAAAAGCGGTAATTACTGCACAATTAATTCTAATTAATCTGAAACAAACTAATTAAATTAAATGCAATCAATTAAAGCGAATTAAACTATAAGAAATAGCGAACAGCGGTTAATTAGCAAGGCGAAAATTATATATGCGAAAAAGCGACTTGTTCGTACGAAAGATGGATGCGAAAGATAATAATAATAATTCGTCTTCTTCCTCGTCTTGGAAAAGAAGGCTACTGCGCATGTCTAACGAGAGCGATAGCCAATCAATAAATTCGTTCTATTGATGTCGACATCGATAGCCAATGGTAAAATTCGATACCTGTGGCGTGATCAGTCAGGCGGTTTACGCATGCGGGTGAGAAATAGCGGGAACGATGGCTTGTCAGGTGCGTGTTGTAAATTTGGGGAGCCCACAGTGACGTATTGCTCACTGAGTGGGCCTGTTCACTGAACATTTTCCCCGGCGTTGGCGGCTGCGTCGACAAGATCATCCTCTTCATGCGTCAGCGGTAGGACACAAAGCTTTGTAATTGGGCGTACCAGCTCTGTGTTAACTGTTTTCACAGTTACCACGCGGATTTGTCCATCTGCTCCTGGATGGACAGCAATCACTTTGGCTAATGGCCACTTGGTTGGCGGAAGATCCTCAGTGGTGATCAGTACAACTGATCCCACCTTGATCTGGTTGCGTTGATGATGCCACTTTGAAATGGCCTGATAGCGGTGGATACAGTCCTGGTAGTAGCGTTTCCAGAAATGTTGCACCATTTGCTGGACTTGTTCCCAGTTCGATAGCCGAGCAGGCTGTAAATCTGTTAGCGATGGCTCTGGGATTGCGGTCAATGACTGTCCGATTAAGAAATGACTTGGAGTTAATACAGCCAGGTCAGCAGGATCTTCATTCAGCGGAGTAAGCGGTCTGGAGTTCAATATTGCTTCAATTTGAGCCAGTAGCGTTGAATACTGCTCAAGCGTCAATAGCGAGTCTCCGATTGTTCTTCGAAGATGAAATTTAATAGATTTCACAGCGGCTTCCCATTTTCCTCCAAAATGTGGAGCTCCAGGCGGATTGAATCTCCAGTTCGTGCCATATTGAGCGATCAAACTTGATAATTCTCGTAAAGTGCGGGATCCTGCAGCGAATAGTCGTTTCAGCTCTTTATCTGCTCCTACAAAATTGGTTCCACAGTCAGAATATAGCGTGTGGCAGATACCTCGGCGACTAGTGAAGCGGCGATAAGCGGCGATGAAGGCGGCTGCGGTGTAGTCAGTAACTAGTTCCGAATGTACAGCTGAACTGAACATGCATACAAATACTGCAATCCAGCCTTTGTATGTTTTTGCTCCACGTCCTTGAAACGTTTTTAGCGTGATAGGTCCAGCGTAGTCGAGTCCTGTATGCAAAAAGGCTCGAGTTGGCTGTACTCGTGCGGCAGGTAGTTGACCCATCAATTGTTGAGCACGTTCTCCACGATGTCTCGTGCAGATTACACAGCGTAATATAAAAGATCTGACTGGAACACGGCCTCCAATGATCCAGACACTTTTTCGTAAGTCAGCGAGCGTGAGCTGGGTACCTCCGTGAAGCGTTTTGCGGTGCGAATCATCAATCAATATTGATGTAAGCGGTGAATATCGTGGCAAGATTGCTGGATGCTTCTCTTCTGGGTCCAGCAATGCGTATTTCAAGCGGCCACCGACTCTCAGGACTCCCTGATGATCGATGAACGGAGTCAGCTTGGTGATGCTGTTATTTTTTGGCAGATCATCACCATCTTGAAGCGTATGAATCTCTCTAGCGAAATATTGTCCTTGAGTGAACTTAATCAAGGTCAATTTAGCGCGCACCAGGTCTGATGGAGTAAGCGGGTAGGCCAGCGAAGATTGTGGAACTCTTTTGAAGCGGTCGATGACACAATGCCAGATGCTGAGCTTCTTAAGTAATGGAAACAGCTGCGTGTAATGCAATAGTAATTGTTGGAGCAGGCAATTTTCTGCTTTCCAAGTTACTAGTGTCAGACCTTGGCGTTCTTCTCGATGCGTTGCGTTGTCGGTTGGAGGCTCCAGAGTGGGCCAAGAGGATTCTGGTTCATGAAGCCACGTAGGTCCATGCCACCAGAGAGCGTCTTGCTTTAATTTTAGCGTAGGTATACCTCTTGAAGCGCAGTCAGCTGGGTTTTGTTTTCCTGGAATGAATTTCCAGGAGACATCTCTAAGCGTTTCTTGGATTTTTCCCACTCTATTGCGGACAAATGTCTTCCAGCGGGTTGATGGACTTTTAATCCATGCGAGAGTCACGGCGGAGTCAGTCCAGAGATTTATCCTGACATTTTCAAGCGACTGAACTTCTTTAACATGAAGTATCAGTTGTGTTAGCAACCATGCGGCAGATAATTCCAAGCGTGGAATTGTCATAGTCTTCAGCGGTGCAACTTGCGTTTTTGAACACAAAAGTGACACTTTTGTGTTCCCATCAGCGTCAGTGACTCTCAAATAAACAGCGGCAGCCATAGCGTTCTGCGAAGCGTCTGAGAACCTGTGCAATTCCATGGTTGCTCCAGGTGCTATATTATTCCAGCGTGGAATGCGGATTGATTCTATGTTGCGGAGATCATCGCGGTATCCAGTCCATTTGTGTATGAGTGATGGTGACAGTTGCTCGTCCCATGACACTCTATCTAGCCACAGATCTTGCATAAAGATCTTTGCTTTGACGACAATTGGTGCGAGTAGTCCTAGCGGGTCATATAGCTTAGCAATTTCAGACAAAATAGCTCTTTTTGTCTTTGGCGTCTCTTGCGGTAGCGTGTACTTGAACTGGAGAGCGTCAGTGCGTGAATTCCAGTACATGCCCAGGACTTTTACTGGCGCATCACTGATTTCTTTAAGCGGTATATCTAGCTGCTTTTCTTGAGCGACTTCAGCGAGTAGTTTTGGACTATTGCTAGCCCATTTGGCAAGCGGGAAGCAGCCTGCTGCACACAGTGAATGCACTGAATCTATCCAGAGAATGCACTGAAGCGGCCAATCAAGCGAGTCGACCTCAATCTGTCTGAACATCTTCGTGATGTCAGTAGCGAATAAAATCTTGTTGCAGCGGATTCTCAACATCACGTCAAAAATGTCAATTTGAGTTTTGGGTCCTGCGTGGAGAATGTCGTTCAATGAAATTCCTGTTGATGTTGCACAGGAACCATTGAACACTGTGCGGAGTTTCGTAGTGGTGCTGTCAAGCTTCAATACCCCATGGTGAGGCAAGAAGTAAGTGTTTGCGGGCAAGTCGTTGATCGGAACTCGTACCATGTGTCCTAGTTGAATATATTCTGCCATGAATGCACGATACATGTCAGAATATTCCCTTTCTCGCGACAAGCGAGTTATTAATCTGCGTAGTGACCCCATAGCTGCGTTGATAGAGTCGCCAAGTTGACTTTCCGGGGCTTTAAGCGGTAATCTGACTACATAGCGTCCATCAGACTGTCGATAATGCGTTTGACGAAAGTGAACTTCACATTCGTCTTCCTCAGCGTCGTTGAGCGATGAATTTCCTGATGGAACTTCTTCCTGCTCCCAAAACTTAGCGATAGCGTCTTGTAATTCTGTATCAATTGACGCATGTAATGCTGCGTGTGATGTTGAAGCGGTTTTTGCGGTGACAGCTCCATAGACAATCCAACCAAGCGTGGTGGATTGTGCAATAGGAGCATTGCGAGGTCCTCGTTGAATCTCTGCGTTCATGATCTGTGCGGCTGGTGATGCACCTAGAATAATGTCTACAGGACGTGGCTGCAGATAATGCGGATCAGCTAGTTGGAGATTTTCCAGATGCGGCCATTTCGGATCAGCGATCACGAACGATGGAAGATCTACCGTCAGTGTTGGTAGAATATGCATGCTGACATGCATTGATGCGGTCGTATACAGCGAACGAAGTTCAATTGTACTCACACCTAGTGAGCTTCCTGCGGAGACATTGCCAATGCCCTTGAGCATGACCATGTCACGCTGTAGCGGTTGACCAAGCTTCTTGAAGAGCGTCTGTCTCATAAATGAGAGCTCTGAGCCTTGATCAATCAAAACTCTGGCGGTGATTAGATTGCCATGATGCGGGCGGACCTGGACCAATGCGGTAGCTAGTAAAACTTGAGCGGAAAGCGGATCTGAAATAATCAACAGTTAATGTTGAATTATAAGCGGTTTAATGGAACGGTTAGTTACCTTGTGCGGTGTCAGCTTGTTGCGGTGGAACTGATTTAGGCGGTACTTCTCGATGAATGGAAGTGTGATGACGTAGACTGCACTTCCTGCATCCTTGAGCGGTCTTACAATCAGCTACACGGTGTGGGCCCAAGCAGTTGTAACATAAGCGGTATTTCTCGACAATGTCGATGCGTTCCTCCACAGTAGCGGCCTTGAATATCGGACAGAACAACATGTAGTGCTCCTCCGGGCACAGCGGGCAATTTCTCCTGGGCTTTCCCTTGTACTGAGCAGCGGTGTATGAAGATTTTGTCCTTGGTTGTTTGTCACTGCGTGACCCTCCTGATTTATGATTTTCAGGTTGCTTCTTGGGCTCAGAAGCTGGCTCCAAGTTCTCCCAAGCTCTGACTTTCAACTTGAGAAACTCATGGAGTTGCGTATAAGTCGGCATGATATCAGTTAAACCAAGACTAGTCTCCCAATCTTCTCTTACAGCGGGTGGCAAGTGGCGTAGCGTCAGGTGAATGATCATCAAGTCCCAGTTGTTAACTGGAATTCCTTGAGCCTTGATTGAATCCAAAGCTTTTTGATTGGATAAAAGCAAGGCGTCCAATTTTGCGGCTGATCGTGCGGGAACTGACTCTCCTACCAACAGATCTTCAAGGTGCGATGCCACTACGCGACGAGGATTCAAATAGCGGCTCTTCAGTAGATTCCAAGCGGGCTCAAATGAGTCATCAGTGGATGGCATGTTACCAATAAGCTGATGGGCTTCCTTTTCGGTGAAGGTCTTCAAATAATGCATCTTCTGACTGTTTTTAAGAAGTGCATTGTCAATAACGATATCAGAAAATAGCTGACTAAAGGATCCCCAACGTTTAAAGTCACCAGAGAACGTGTGGAGCTTGATCTTTGGGAGCCCCGTGCCAGATGACCCACCCATGTAAGCGGTGCTGTGCATAGCCAGAGTGTTTTGTGCTTGTTCTGCGTCTCTGGCATCAATTTCCTCCTGGATTGCGTCTTTGCGGGTGGCTATACGAGTCTCCAGTGTGGTGTACGATGCGTGAGCAGTCGTATAGCGGTTCCCAGTGTGGTACTCGTGCTGCAGTACCTCCGGATACATTTCGAAAATTAGCGAATTCAGGTTTGTGATGTCGTGCCACAACCTGTAGCCTTGATTTTGAGCTGCTTCAACAGCAGTCATTGACAGCCTGTTGAGCTCATCATCTGTTAAGCGATCCACCATGGCTTGCAAAGCATCCAGGTACTGCTTTTGCATGGCGATAGCTAACTCGAACTGCATTACGTTGTTCATAGTAGGCCCGAGGTCGAGTTTTCAGTCGAATAAACGGAAAGTTCGTCGTACCGGTGTACGAATGACTACCAGGAGCAGCACCCGATGTGCTCTGCGATGCTCCTGACACTCGACTTTTTTCTAACGGTAATACACTTCACTCAACACAACACAAATTTTAAGCGGAATACTAATTTAAATTAATTTTAATTTTAATTTAATTGAGATAGAGCCAGCCTGATCCGGCTCGAGGGACCAAATGTAAAATGCTGAAAGAGCGGAAAAACTAAGGATCAGGTTTCGGTCTGGTTATCTCAATTAAAATACAAAAATTATTATTAAAAATAACACTAGAGTTTATTTAACTATAATTACAATCAATATTTAACTTGTTTAATAGCGGATTGGTTAAATAAAAGCGGATATGTTATACACAGCGTGGTTAGCAAAAGCGAAGCCGTTTAGCACGTGGTTGAGTAAACTGCCGGCACTGTCAAAAGCGGTAATTACTGCACAATTAATTCTAATTAATCTGAAACAAACTAATTAAATTAAATGCAATCAATTAAAGCGAATTAAACTATAAGAAATAGCGAACAGCGGTTAATTAGCAAGGCGAAAATTATATATGCGAAAAAGCGACTTGTTCGTACGAAAGATGGATGCGAAAGATAATAATAATAATTTGTCTTCTTCCTCGTCTTGGAAAAGAAGGCTACTGCGCATGTCTAACGAGAGCGATAGCCAATCAATAAATTCGTTCTATTGATGTCGACATCGATAGCCAATGGTAAAATTCGATACCTGTGGCGTGATCAGTCAGGCGGTTTACGCATGCGGGTGAGAAATAGCGGGAACGATGGCTTGTCAGGTGCGTGTTGTAAATTTGGGGAGCCCACAGTGACGTATTGCTCACTGAGTGAGCCTGTTCACTGAACAATATTTAACACTTTTTTGTGTTGATTTAACAGAATAAATGTTAAATTTACACATAAAAGTGTTAAATATTTAACACAAAAATTTTTAACACTAAGATTTTTGACGCAATGACGCAAAATTTTTTACTGTGTATATTAGAGTGATTTATTTGGGACGGCTATGTATTTTATTCGCTCCATTAACATATGGTTCTATGTAAAGTAAAAAAAAAAACAATTTCTTCAAGGTTTATTCCGTAATTATAATTTTATTGTTTTCTTTAAAAATTGAAGTTTTTTTTAATTAAAACGTATAGGAAATGAAGAATTATTTGTGTGTTCTTCAATTTAACAGCCTTTGACACTACTGCAATGGACCAAGGCGTAGCTTAAGATAATAGCATACACCTTGAAAGGACTTTATCGATATCAACTGACATATTTTGGTATCAAACTTAAACTTTTACTAAATAATCTTATTTTTCGCGTATTCAATGGAACACAGTAAAAAATTTTATATCATTGTGTCAAAATTCATCGTTAAAAATCATCGTTTTGGTATGGAAAATTAAAAAGTTCATGCTTATATAAGCCGAAATTTTTAATGAAAGTTTTACATTTAAAATTTATAAGGGGATAGAAACTGATACGTCATACGGAACAAATTAATTTTAAAAATAGAACTGCAGTCTATAGTTCGATGAAATTTTTCTTCCAGATTTAAAATATCATTTAAGAGGGCAAATCATGCATGAACAGTTCTTGTCAGCTGATATATGGAGTTTTAATCCTTTTCTATTAGGCTAGAACAGACATGATCAGACATGGACAGGTCTGATCAGGTCTGAGTGTATTTAACGATTCAGACATGAACAGACATGAATAGGCTTGATCAGGTCTGATCAGGCCTGAGCGTATTTAATGCTTTAAACATGAACAGGCATGGACAGGCTTGATCAGATCTGATCAGGTCTGAGCGTATTTGATGCTTCAGACATGAACAGGCATGAACAGACATGAGCAGGCATGAACAGGCTTGATCAGGTCTGATCAGGTCTGAGCGTATTTAACACTTCAGGCATGAACAGACACGATCAGGTCTGATCAGACCTAATTTCAGGCCTGATCATACCTGAACAGGCCTGATCAAGTCGGATTTCAGGTCGGATTTCAGGTCTGATCAGTCCTGAACATTTTTTCCCGGGCGGCTAAAAAAATCTTTAAAATAAAAATTTTTCAAATTCCGTACGTGCTAAGAAAAAAAAATTAAAAAGCAATTTGGGTTTTTATTTTCAGATGATCTGTTTTTGAGTTATCGAAACAATTGTGAAGGGGGGAAATTTTCTCCAGTGCTCGACGAGATTGTTAATAAATTTGGAATAGTTAAATATTTTTTAATAAAAATTTAGGATAATAATCTTTAATGTACCGTTAATAAGATAAAAAAAAATCCGATTCCCAAATTCTTTTATTTTCCCTGTCAAAAAAATCATGAGCAGGCTTGATCAGGTCTGATCAGGTCTGAGCGTATCTAACGGTTCAGACATGAACAGGCATGAACAGACATGGACAGGTCTGATCAGGCCTAATTTCAGGCCTGATCATACCTGAACAGGCCTGATCAGGTCGGATTTCAGGTCTGATCAGATATGAACAGGTCTGATCAGTCCTAATCATTTTTTCCCGGGTGGTTAGGTTCAATGCAATGAGCACTAATAAATAATAGAATGTCTGATAAAAGAACATCGGAAATTTTATGACGTATAGTTAACAGGAGGATCGAAAGTAAGCTCTCCTGAAATGAGAGAGGAGCCCCGGGGTAAAGAGGTTCATTTAAATTATCTTCATCGAACACACTTTCATCGGAATTAGAAGATGAATCATCTTCACTGTCAGAAGTGTGCGAAGAATCACAATCGAAGAATAACTCATCGCTTCGTGTAGAACCGGAATCCTCAAAATCGTTCTCGGAACTCGAATAATTTTTTTCTGGAGTAGAAAACGGTTTTTCAATGAATAACTTCAAGAAGTCCTGTTCGCGATGACGATTGGTAAATAAATCGGGAATAAAGGGATCTGAAATAAAATAGTAATTTATAAAACTTCGATCAGACTTTTGACCTCGAAGAGCTCAAAAGCTCAGTACAGCTTCCTCTTTGAGCTCGGAGGACTCAAAATAACACATAAATTATATTTTTGAGCTCTTCGAGCTCAAAAATGTCATAAGTACGGTTTTTAGCGCTTAGATATGAAATTCGCGGGAAGTTGCAAGGATGGCCTTTAGGGTCAACCGTTTTCCTAATTTTTTATTCTCAGAATAATAAAATGAAATTTTCAAAATTAATTCCAGCCCTAATTTAACCTAAGTTCGACAATTATATATACTGTCATTTCTTCAACTCTAACTGTTTGGAAAGCATCGATTTCTGAACATGGCTCGATTATTTACTCTCTAGATTGTAAAATTGAATTTTCAATATTAAATCCAGCCCTAATCTAACCTGAAATCCGTTGTTTCTTATTTGTTTTCTATTTCTCCGGCTCTACTGGTTCAAAAATCATCACTGTCTCAATAAATCTCCTTTTTTTTATTCTTTTCATGGTAATATAAAATTTTCATAATTAAATCCAGCCCAAATTTAACCTAACTTCCACCATTATTTTTGTACTTTAATTTCTTCAGCTTTACCTGTTAGAATAGCATCGGTTTCTAAACATGGCTTGTTTATTCATTTATTCTTAGATTGTAAGCTAAAATTTTAGAAATTAAATCTAGCCCAAACCTAACCTAAGATCCACCAGGATTTATGTACTTTCATTTCTTCAGCTTGAACTATTTGAATAGCATCGATTTCTGAACATGGCTCGTTCATTTACTCTCTAGATTGTAAAATAAAATTTTCAAAATTAAATCCAGCCCTAATCTAACCTAAAAACCTTTACTTTTTATTTATTTTCATATTCTTCAGCTCTAACTATTTAAAAATCATCAATAAATATCTTTCTTTAAGTCTCTTGATTGTGACATAAAATTTTTAAAATTAAATCCAGCCAGAATCTAACCTAACTTCCACTATGATTTATCTACTTTTATTTCTTCAGCTCTTCCTGTTTGAATAGCATCGATTTCTAAACATGACTCGTTTATTTACTCTCTAGATGGTAAACTGAAATTTTCAAAATTCAATCCAGCCCAAACCTAACCTAAGATCCACCAGTATTTATGTATTTTTATTTCTCCAGCTCTACCGCTATGAAAAACATCGGTTCCTGAACATGGCTTGTTTATTTATTTATTCTTAGATTGTAAAATAAAATTTCAAAAATTAAATTCAACCCAAACCTAACCTAAGATCCACCAGCATTTATGTACTTTTATTTCTTCAGCTTTTACTGTTTGAAAAGCATCGATTTCTGAACATTGCTCGTTTATTTATTCTGTAGATTGTAAAATAAAATTTTCAAAATTAAATCCAGCTCTTACCTAACCTATAATCCTTCGCCTTTTATTTATTTTTATTTTCTTCAGCTCTACTGGTTCAAAAATCATCAATTTCTCAATAAATTTCCTTTTTTTCATCTCTCGATTGTAAAATAAAATTTTTTAAATTTAATCCAGCCCAAATTTAACCTAATTTCCACTATTATTTATGTACTTTCATTTCCTCAGCTCTACCTGTTTCAATAGCATCGATTTCTAAACATGGCTCGTTTATTTATTTATTTTTAGTTTGTAAAATAAAATTCTGAAAATTAAATTCAACCCAAATCTAACCTAAGATCCACCAGCATTTATGAACTTTCATTTCATCAGCTCCAACTGTTGGAAAAGCATCGATTTTTTTTAACAAAGGTCCTTTAGTGATTTTTAAAATAGTAGAGCAAAATTTTCTAAATCAAATCTATTCAAGATCTAACCTTAAAACCACCGCTTTTCATTAAATTTACGTTTTTCTCGCTTCGTTAATTATAGTTTTTCTGTCCTAAACTTTCACGTCTTAATAATTCTAAAAATATTGCTCAAGTCTCTTCTCGTAATCGCTACTACGTAAATTTAGATCTATCAACTAATTCTTTTCACCTTCTCTCTCTGCTTCTCTCATATCATCATTTTCTACTTCAGTTTCTTCAAGCACAGCTTCGCCAAGTTCTGCACCTTCAAGTTCATCGTTTGAACTTTAACTATTCGAGGAACTTTGGATTGAGAGCTCATCATCTGCATTCAAGAATGTGTTTTCTTTTGATTTGTTCTGTCGTATTTTTGGTTGTATTAGTCTTACCTGAGCTTGTCAAATTATCTGATTCGCTCGTGCATCCGTCGTTTTCACTTCGCATTGGCTCATCTCCTTGATCTTTTAAAAATTTTATAATTTTATATCGATGGGATCTCGAATATTCTTCGAACAGTTTTACTCGCTTGGGCATTTTTCACTTTGATTCACTTCAATGTGTGACAGGGAAAATCGAACTTCCCGGGGTCATTTTCGACCCCAATAATTGACGCACGGTAGGTAAGGGCTTTCCCTTACCGTTCTATTTTTTTTTGACAAGAATTTCGACTTGTCACCGGGCGTGCAAATCACAGGTCCCTACTACTGTCCCCGAAAAACGAAGCGGGGTGTAACTATGGGAAAGTTCGAGAGCCCGAGTTCGGGGTTATAAAAGAGCGTGCACGAAAATGATCGAGGCTTTTTCCTCTGGAAGCCAGTGGCCTGTTGCCTTTTGTAAATCAGTGACCTTTTTTTAAGACCAGTTTAAATTAGACAGTGCAGTCTTGGTAATTGAGAAACAACTACGGAGGAGTTTATCATGGTGTTTGGAATTGGACAAGCCCTGATCGGAGGCCAGCATCGTGGGTTGAGACGACAAGACGCCAAGCAGCTGAGCCAGCCAAGTTGGACCGGAGTATCAATCGTCGTTGGTTAAACAAAAGTTGAGTTACCAGGTATTTTTGATTATTTTAGGCCAGAATTGATTAATTATTTAATTAAGAGGCTGAAATAATTAAAGTTAATTTCTGTGTTGAAGTGAAATTAAGTAGATTATGATAATATTGTAAGTTTTGGAAAGTTTAATTTAGGCTGGTGGATAATGTAATTGAATTGTTAATTTAGAAAAGGTGCATAATGAATTTATTAAGAAATTGTTTAAATTTAAAGATAATTTATTAGAAAATTTCGATAAAGTAATTCGGTGAATTTAGTAAATTTAATAAATCTGAAAATTGGATTTTATTTATGAATAATTGTTGAGAGGTTATTTAAGAAGATTTAAGAAATGAGTTTAGATAATAAGAAATTTATGAGTAATTAAATTTAGTAAAACAGAATATATGAAGAGTTTTGTTGAAGAATTGTGAATTATGATAGGATTAAAATTTGGAATTTTAGTTCTGTAGTGATTTAGATAAATGAATAAGAATTAAGAATGGATATGAATTTGGAAGCTTTTTATGAAATTTGGGAATTTTATATTGTCAGTTATTCCGCCAAATGACGAGGATTTTAAGTAATTAAGGAATAGAAGATAGACGCGTAATGGTCTATATTTGAGTTAAAATTTAAGAATCTAGATGCGTAATGGTCTATGATTAAATTTGGAATTAAAGATAGATGCGTAATGGTCTATAATAGAGTTTAGGAATTAAGAAGATAGATGCGTAATGATCTATGATGAAAAGAATTTAAGGATATTTAGTTTATAAGGATTTTTGGCAAGTGCCTGTTGAGAAAGCGTTTCTCGGAAATTTATAATTGGATTTGGACTGTGAAACGGTTGGTTATTTGTAATATTTTAAGATTTATTTATTGTTCAATAAAATTGATTAACGAGAGAAAATTGTCCTCAGTATTTATTTTCAGCCTATCTCAACTTCTCACGACCCGACTTTCCTGCTCGTGCTCTTCCGGTTTCTGGGACACCGCGAAAATAATCCCAGTGGCGCCCTTTTCATAAGGAAAGGGGTGACCAATTGAACAGGGTTAACCTCCCCGTTACAAATGTTTCTATAGTTTTTATTTTTTTTTATAATATACTTTTTTTATTATTATAATCAATTAATTCGTAATGAAGCGCATTCAATTTTTTATTTTTTAGTTTAACTTTTTTTTTTTAATCGTACATTAATTTTTTTTTGTCACGGTTACCGTTGTGTTGATTATAATGTTGCTATGGTTACGTTATTTATTTACATAAACAATTATTTCTCAACTAATTAAGTCGTGGTTAACTCGTTTTATTCCTTAATTAACGTTATTTTTAAATAATAATGACTCTTTGGGCTCTTGTCCTCTGGTGTGGTTCACATGAACGTGATATTTTAAATTACGATTCTATTAAATTTAAGAATGATGGTAATGCTTCAGCTAAATGGAGAAACAAATTTTATTCTGTTAAAGTTCTACGTACAAGTGGTAAGTCAATTAATTTATTATGGGATCATTTTAACACATAGTTCAATTTTTATATTAATTTATTTATTTTTGGTCTGTTTTTCCGTAATTTTTTTTTATTCCTCTGCTTTACTTACTCAACTCTTGATAGTTGTATTATTTACAGAGTAAATAATTCGTTGTTTTTTTATCTTCTCTTATGGTTTTTTTTGTTAATTTTGCATCATATTGTAATTAGAGGATAAGCAGTGGCTGGAGTCTCTGGTTGTTGATACTGATGGAAATGTGACTTTACCCGAAGCTCCCGATGAGTTTCATGAAAAGAAGAAGCATGAAAAAAGTTTAGCTGTTGCTGACTTAAAAACTGCAACGAAAGCCCTCAATGCCAGTAAATCCCGAGAAAACAATTCAATCACTCGTACTAAAAACATCCTCCAAGATATCACTTTGGGGACCAATGCAAGTAATCTTCACAATTCAGATGACGAGGATATTTTAGCAGATCGTGGTTACTCACCAGCCCAAGAAGTGGAAGTAGTTAACCCCAATAATGGATCAAAATCACGGATGGTCCGGGCTAAAATTGAGTATGACAAAAAAAAATGAGAATTCCCCATTTGTATGTCAAGTTTGTAAAACGTCGCCAGAAGGTACAATTTTAGTAGATTTTATAAAAATCTAACTATTGTATTTGTCCTCATGACGTAAATTTCCATAAATTTTGCTATATTTTGACCTAACTCGACGAACTGAGTCAGAAAATACATATGGTTCGAAAGTTTATATATGTATGGATATATATATATATGCGGGGGGTTTGACGACATTTTTTTTTTCTACTTTATATCGCTCTCTTATACCTTCATTGTCTCATATATATCGTTTTTTTTTTTTTAATTATTTCTTCTCAAGATATTGAAGGTTCTGTAATATACGGCATATATGACGACAAACCCAAAATGGCATATTTCGCGACATTTGGTCGTTTCGACGATATTTCTCATGTTGTTGCTTTGACGACACTATGTAAGTATACGTTAGTACACATGTGGTAATTATCTCAATTTGGCATATTTCGCGACATTTGGTCGTTTCGACGACATTTCCGATGTTTTTGCTTTGACGACACTATGTAAGTATACGTTAGTTTGCATGTGGTAATTATCTCAATTTGGCATATTTAGCGACATTTGATCGTTTCGACGACATTTCCCATGTTGTTGCTTTGACGACGCCTCCGTAACAAAATGACCAAGGACAAAATAATCACGACAGAATAACCTGCGAAAGAATAACCCACGACAGAATACCTGTAACTAGGTCGCTGACTTATCGACACGACAAATTTAACTACAAATTAATATTTGTTATTGTCGTAAGATGGACGGCGGTGTTTACTCACATCAGGTTATTAATATGTGACTGAATAGTATATTACGGACAAGGTCTCGGATAGCTTAACTGGTAGCGCCTTTTGCGCG